TAACCACAGACACACAACCACGCTCACACGCAGCTTTCGTGCTGCTGTTGAGCTGATTTTCTGTTTGTCACTTTAAATTGAAATTGTTATCAAGCACATTCAGACACATTTGGATGTCTTCGATTTATCAAGATTACATTTTCCTCCTCAAGATTCCTCTCTCTTCTAATTGTTCTGATAAGACAGTGTCTCATATCAGCCACCATAATGTTCTCTCTAGAGAGAAACATGCATTACTGCGCTGATAAGCAGACAGTAGCCAAATTATTTGCAGCACAACATGAATACATAGTGTTGGAGAGAAGAGGAGGGGAGTAAAACAAAATGCAGTAAAGGCATCACAGATTTCCCTTCCTGCTCTGTGCACAATCTCAGAGTTAGAAGAGGGAGAGGCCCTGGGACTTAGATGATAATAAAATATTAACTAACGCAGGATATTTTAAGCTCCTGACATTCTTTCCCTGGTCTGTGTGTTAGAAATGGCCTCCACCAGATGTAGCCAGCAGCAAGAATGATGTTCACATTAAGGAAAAGAAAGAGAAATGATCCCTATGACTTATTTTAACAACTTACTAAGCTCAAGGTTCAAGGTTTTAATCCATCATAACTATTTATTTTGGCAATCACATTACTGCCTGTCATTTTAAATACAATTTAGAGCTTTTTTTGTTTTGCTTTCAGGTGCTTTCACATCTCAGCTTTAATGTGCACTGACTTGCTTCTATTTATAAATGTTTTATGTTCATGGTGTGCAGTGTTTTCATGCCATTTCTAGGCGCTGCATTCTTTGCCAGGGCTAAAAAATGTGGAGAAATTGTGACTATTCTGGTATTTAAATGGCAAGCAAAGTGAAGAATGATCCTGAAAAAAAAGTTTAATTAGACTTTTGTTATATCAATTTCTAATAAGGCCTTTTAATATGTTGTAACTAATGTATTTATGATTGATTGATTAATCAATGATTCCCTAATGCCTTATACAGTAGATCAGTTTTAAACAATCAATAATGGGACACCAATGGGTTACCAGTTGTGAGAAATCCCTATTGCTGGTGTTTATACAGTACTTTATATTGATAATACTAGAAATTACAGGCTAATCCATTAAGTATGCTTTGGGGTTTTCACTTTCTATTGAGATATCAGTGTTTATAGTAAATGGAATAAACCTATTTCAAGACATTCGTTATTTGCTTTCATGCTGAGAGTGAATAAGAAGAATAACACTACTCTCATGTCTGTACATTAAAAATGAAGCAGGCACCATTAGCTGGTTAGCTTAGCGTAGCATAAAGACAAGAAAAAATTGGTAGTGAACATCTAGTAGGCTCAGAAAATCCACTTAAGCCCGCTAAAAAAGTATTAAGTTGCAGTTAATATGCCCGACTAGTTTTTGCCAGCAACCAATGCTGGAGTCCAGACCCTGTTCACTCTTTCCCCCTTGTTTGAGTGTCCACGCTAATATAAGCTAACCTTCTCCAGGCTACTGTCTTCATACTAAAACATTCAGATGCAAGAATGAACTTAACATTACCTCTCAGCAAGTAAGCAAGCAAGAAAATGTTCCCAAAACGACATTAATTATTCATTAAATACGTTTTAAGAAAAGTAATTTGAGTCTGTTTTTCTTTGCAGTCCTAAAAGTCAAATGTTGAGTAGAATGAGCACCATTAGGCTACGTATGTTTCCCTCCATCATGAACAAAGCCATTACTTACATAGTATAAACGGCAATTTATAAGCAGGTGGATTTTGTTTACATAACCTTAGGCTATACCCTGCACCACATTAACCCATTCCCAGCATCTTTAGCTTATAGACTGTTGTTGTTTATTTTTGTTTTGTTGTCCTTTCATTCATAAATCTCTCCATACAAAATAGTAAATGGACTGCATTTTACAAGGTGCATCTTCCAGTCTTTATGACTCCTCAAAGCACTATTACATATACAGCAGAGGTGTCCAAACTACGGCCGGGGGCCAAATGCGGCCCACGGACCATTTTGAATCGGCCCTCAGCAAATAAAAAAAGTATAATCACTTAAGTATAATAAACTTCTGCTTGTCTTATATTGTAGCCTACTTCTTAAATATACATGTTCAAATATATTACACAGTATTCGAGTGTTAATAAGCCCAATTCTCTTATAAATTCAGTCAATTAAAGTTGAAAACATGTTCTAAACTTGTTAGAACATGTGTCTAAGTTGACAAGAAAAAAGCACAATAACACATTTATTACATAACAACCTTGAAGCATACCCTTCATATTTCCTCTAATTTTAAGCAATCTGAAGCTTCTGTTTTAAGGAATGAGCTGCTAACACAATACATAAAACCCTATAGAGAACTGTGATTTAGGCAGTTTTTTTTCTAACAGCATTTTTAAGAAATAAGAATAATTTACCTACATTGGATTGATTTTTCTAACTTATAACTGAACTTATGAGGCAATATACCTCACCTCTAGGGAGTGGCCCAGCCCTTCGTATATTTTTCTGTATGCGGCCCTCGCTGAAAAACGTTTGGACACTCCTGATATAAAGCATTCACCCCTTCACAAACAGTCATACAGAGGTAAGAGTTACCACCTGCTTAAGGAAGTCAACATTCATACACCGTTGGCCATCGGAAACAATTTGGGGCGTGTCTTGCCCAAGGGCTGGAATCGGACCTACAACCTGCTGATTGGAAGGTGACCAGATAACCTCTGAACTAACCCTCTAACCTTTCAGCACAAACAGCTCAGGGCTCCTAAACATAAACTCGCTTTATTTTTACTCCATTTAGTGTTGCCTCATGTGACACCGACTGGCAAACTTGCTTCCGTTACTCAGATTAAACTCACTTCTACCAGGATGGTGTCAGTGTTTATCCAGCCCTCCTCACCTCAGGTCAGAGGGTCGTTGTATACAGTGCACACACCACACTGACACCTGGTATTGACGCTTATCCAGTCCAACAGCCTGACCATCACTGGGTCCCCTGTGACCTCTGCCCACTTTGTTTACTCTGCCCACTTAGTCATTATGTAAAAGAGGATTTTCTCCAGTTTCCATACCAGCTGGGCTTTCATATTACTTCATGTCTCCTGGTTTGGTGTTTGCGCTTATGAGCTCAGGAGCATCTGTCCAGTATGTGCTGTAACAGGTTCACCATCCCCTGTGAGATGCGATGCACGGCTCACTGACCTTAACCCAGCCCATATTTCACCCCCAGACAGGGGGAGGAGGCTGTGTGTGTGTGTGTGCGTGTGTGTGTGTGTGTGTGTGTGGCGTGTGTGTGTGTCTACTCCCTCCGTCGTGTCCGTTCGTCGAGTCTCTAGTGTGTGTGTGTGTGTGTGTGTGTGTGTGTGTGTGTGTGTGTGTGTGTGTGTGTGTGTGTGTGTGTGTGTGTGTGTGTGTGTGTGTGTGCGTGCTAGTGTGTTTATGTGTGAGAGTGTATTTGCTCTCGATCCCACTCAATGCGGCCATCACAATCTATAAGTGTATTGATCCTCTATATGACTCTGGAGGGAGTGTGGACATGTGCCATTATGTCTGGAAACCCAACGATAGGGTTACTTATCTCATCATGAGAAGAGACTTAACTACAGATTAGACCAATGAGTAATGTGCAGAATATCCTGATTGATTTTGTTTCAGGTGGTGGTGGAAGGGATATACATCAAAGTACTATACTTAAATAATATAAATAGTGAGGTATACTTACAAGTATTTTGAGCTTGCTGCTGAACACCTATACATTTATACTTGTACTGTAATACATTTCAGAGTACCATTTTGTAGTTATTTGACATCTGTAGTTATTGTGGATTTCCAGATAAAGATTCAGCATAACACCGTATGATTACATTTTAATGTGAGGCATTTCTAAGAATTTGGGCAGAAATTGCGAAAAACAATTATTGTAGCCACACACAAAAATACCATTTGGGCCTGTATTTACACTTCAGATATACATTTCCCAATACCCATGTCTGTTTTTTCAAATAACAGTTTGAATTAGTAATATGATACAGTACTATGTTATTTATTTATAATATGGTAGTATACAATACTTAGGGGTCATTAATGAGAAGCCTACTTTTACTTTTGCTATCGAGTAGATCGTTTTTAAATATAATGTACATTTTTAAGAAAAAGTATTTGGGGTTATTGTGTTTTTAAGTAAAGAATCAGTATATTTATCCACCACTGACTTATATCCTCATGACAAAAATGACTTTTCTTTAGTCTTAATCAGGTAGAAACTGATGCACATTGTGTCATTTCTGCAGCAGCACCCCTAGAGGGCGGTAATGCATTTTTCTTTTTTTCCCCCTTCATCATCACTGCACAAACAAGGTCCCAAATAAAACTGAACATCTCCAACAATTGAATCTTTACTGAACAACTATAACCATTCCCGGCTAAAGTAAGTTTCTCTTGATGATGAAAGTATATTTAGGAAGCAAGGCTTCTCAGTGAGGACTGGTGGCTGATATCAGGGCAGGAGTTAATGCTAATGTTGCAGCTAAAGCTGAACGACTCCTAATAACGGGGTGTGGTCCGGTGCCAGGGCAGCCCTGTTGGATTAGCACAAGTCCCACAGCGCTCTCCTAATTACAAGCTGGTACTCACAGGGCAAGCCAGTCTGACTGTTCAACCGTGCTCCTGTGGGCATGCTTCCCTCGCTGACTAATACCCACACACACATACCCAAACAACAACAACAACAACCACAACAGGCAGTGTTGGCCACCTGCAGCAGGCCTGTGCTCTCCATCCCGCCTGCCTCTCCCTGTCTGCCCTGGTTTCAGCACACAGAGCTGCAGAGTGGTGCAACGCTGGATCAAAGCAAGATTAATGAATACAGCAGAGATGTAGCTAAAGCACCGAGGCCCCAAGAGTTCCCGCTAGCAATGCAGAGCTGTGGTTTAACCATAAGCGGACTAAAGATAGCAGACAGCAGCACAACACCAGATGGCAGTTACCTCCAAAATAGTACAATGTGACAAGAGAGCAGATGCAAACATTTATCGTCGGAAGAAAGGAGTATAACATCACCTGAGAGACATACAGTACATTATACCTGCGTGTATAGTGGCCAAATTGCAGTGGGAGAAAATCTGAAGTAAACATTTTGCCCCGAAGAACACAGTAATTTTGAGTGTCATTTTTCCTATTGTGGCTCCTTGCACATGGTTGTCAGGTTTGTGCTGCTTTAAGAGTTCACTATGAAGGATTTTTTAAGATGTTTTTCCTTCCTCTTCACCTTTCTCTCCGTCTCCTCCTCTGCTCACATCCATCCTCCTCTTTCTCCAACAAAAAGGCTATTAATAGAACACCCCGCGCTCTCTTTTAACTGCAGGGAGCATATACCGTGCACTTAAAGGGAGGATGAAGCTGAAGATACCAGGAGGCGTTTGAAAATGTCTCCCACACAGCCCCTGGCTACAAAGACGCTGGATGTCCTAAGAATAACAACAAAGAGGCCTTTGATCGATGCATGGCGTTTTGCATCAGCGCAGACGCTCTTCGGCTAAAAATAGCTCCTTAAATCATTTTTGGATTAAATACCCCTGCCAACAATGTGATGTGAAGGGAAAAGGCTGGAGAAACTTGGGAAAAAATACCTTTTACATATTCTTCTTCACATTGAAAAGCACATTTCAAGCAAAAAAAAGACACCACAGCATTTCAGTTGAATTATTATTGGCTTCATTATTGATATTACTTCGTCAGGGTTATGATCATTTGGAAGGATTATATGCATTTTTTTATTTCACATGTCTTTCTTGTCCTTAGATTGTCCTTCTTGTCTTGTAAAGTGCAGATAATACTACATTTTAAATCCAGACTTCACATACAGTATATTGTACATGGTTTTTGCTCCTTCATCCATTCGTTATTATTTACATTATTCTCTCACATTTCATTTCATAGAAAGAAAATCCATTATCCACTGTACCAACGTTGATGGATGTTTTCAGGCCTCTATGATGTGGGGGGGGGGGGGTGGAGAACTGTACATATTGTGTCAGTGGATGCCACACTATCAGGCTCTGGGGGTCAAACGAAAAGAAAACGTTTAACCTCAAACACACACATGCATACAGATTGCATATTGATCGTCTTGCTTCCCATGTGTATGAATATCTTTTTTGTCTCAAAGAGCTGACATCGCATTTAAAACAAACAAAAGCTCCCATTCACATTCATCCAACGTGTGAGTGTTTGTAGATCAGCAGAATATTGCAAAGTGTGTCTCTTCTGCTTGAGGGGCTCGTTTCAAAAGCACTGTCAGCTCTCAGGATCAACATGTAATTGGTGCCGGAGTAAAACATGATGTTCTTAAACCTTCTCAACTACCAGCTTATAATCATCTTCTGCATAGATTTCTCAGTGTAGTCACTGTTGGGCACCCTTCTCATGGAGCGGATTTGCTAGTGAGACCCTCAGCAGGTGAGAGATGACTTTTTTTGAGGATGTATTGCTCCTCATAAAGCAATACATCATCGTAGTTGACTTTGTTCCCACTGAATACAAACATTTACAGATTAAATCTGCAGGTGTTTGATTCTACTTGTCTTTGTGCTTTAAGCAGAACTAACTGTTGTTGTTAGATGTTGTAGTGTATGAGTGGCTACAGTGAATTTGCTGAGGTACAGTGAGGTGCCCAATTTCAAACATAACAGATAAATGTAGCATGTGTAACATTTATCATATACATATGTTCAAAACAAATGAAATGACGACAATGAGATACAATGCATTTGCATGCATAGACACATATTTTTGGTCAGACTGTGAGTGTTTTTTTTCTTCACATATACAGATGTAAATGTCTGTTGCATAAATGAAGCTGTACAACCAGGCAAAGACACTAACATTCAGTGGTTCTCTTTGTGGTTCTCTCTTCCTTACACACACACACAAGCACACACTCACAGAAAACTCCTACATAGCCGTTCATCAACACACCTCCAAAAATACTTAACTGATAAACAGGATCTTGGTGGGACTGTGAAGGTCCATTACGTTTTTTTAAAACATGATGTCCACAAAGACCTCTCCACCAAATGAATATGGGAATATTGCTAAACAAAATCTGGTCCTACCTTCGGTTACAGACCTCAATCCACCTTTTATGCTATTCTAAGAAAAGCAACAAATATAACTCCTCCATTTTATTTACTGAAAGTCTCTTTAAAGAGACATGAAATCAGACACAGATCTGGGCTTCAGAAGCCTCATGTCAGGCAGTTGGACGAGGCATCCTGAGCACATATTGGCAGCGATGGTGTAAAAACATTTTTGCTACTGCAGGTTAAAGACTGTAGTGAGCAGAATGAAACCCTAAGAATAAAGATGCACATCCTGGCATGACAGAATGCATGTAGACATGTCTTGCTACACAGCTTCTCCTAATCCATCACCTTTCTAATTACCTAAGACATCTGTGAGAAGATGAAGAAAGGCAAGCGACTCAGGAGTGAAGTCAGAGTACCCCCAGGTTAGCCAATATCTGCTACACAACGCTGCTAATTATCCTTCCCATATTGACATTACTGCCTTTAACTGATACCTTGGCAGTGTTGAGCGAACAGTGAATGAATCTCAGCTGGACACAATCCTAGAAGCTACTCCACATTCGATGCCAACATTTACAGACAGATTGAGCTTCTGGCACCAGAGACTTCTAAAAAGGACAGCCAGACTCCATTTAAATTCTGAGCAAATGATCACCAATGTAAATCTTTCTGATACAAGACTCTTGCCTAGGGATGATACAACGCGATGCCTTTAATACAGAAAGCCTTTTTTTATATTAAGTAAAGCAACATTTTTTGTATTCATGTGTCTGGTTTGCTGAAAGCGAAAATTATGCTTTTAAAATGGCTAGTAAGAGTGTGTCTTTGGATCTGAAACTGACACTGTGCTCAGAACAACCATTATTGTCATTCAAAATGTTTTTTTTTATTAAAAACATGGCAATGATTTGCGCATTGTGGAAAGGTTCTTGCTTTCTCTTAAACATTGCTATTTAAAGTTTTTTTTATTCTCTGATAATAGTATATGTGTCCTGTATAGTATGTGTCCCGTCTGTATACATATTTTACTCATATATCTATATATACGAAATAAATATATCTATTGTAATTATTAGATTTTTTGTTTTGTTTCTTCTATGATCTTAAATGCATGCTTCTAGGAATGTTTTTGAGGTCATGCAACATTAGGAGATTAGCGTAAACCCAGATAAAAAGGCAGTTTGGGGGGGAAGCATTACTCTATACAAGAATCCTAAAAGTTGCTATTTCGATCATGACAACGTGATCCTGTGACAAAACTGTGAAAAAGACAGCACTACGAGTCTATCACATATGCGACTGGGATCCATGTCCAAAACTAGAGTGTGAGTTCACGCCTGAAATCACAGCTCAGCGGTTTTTCTGGCAATAGTTTAAAGCGATGACTTCTACATGGAATGTAAATATCGACAAGGACACCACATTAAGAGCAGGATTTGACCTTTTGGGTATTCCTTAAGAAATCCTCTAACGTACAGCTATAGGTTCTTGACCCGCAGGCGTCCTTTTAAAATTGTGAATCTTTATAGAAGGCAGTGTACACACAAATATACAGTGGTGTGATGAAGCAAGTGGCAGTCAATAAACAAGTGGTAATTCTCTTTCAGATAAAAATGTCATGCAATTATCTACTGACTATGTTTTTACTAGTAACAGCACCTACCTACCGGCTATCAGTTAAGTCACAGTTAACCTACCTTATTTAAATAAGTATGTGCGTGTCTGTGTGTGTGAAACTGTGAAAAACAAACAAAACAAGAAGAAACATTCAAGTTGTCCTCAAAGCTCTGCAGTAAGACCAGTTTTGGGTGAATGGAAGGGGGGGGAAGCTTGCATTGCAATACATACAGTACATGTAAGACTAAAGCAGTGAAAAAGCAAGGCCATTCTCAGCCATTCATCAGATACTGATGTCTGCTGGGAAAAAAAGGTGTCGAACCATGAGCTAAGTGCTGATGGCTGTCATTCATCCTTGAAATAACGTGGTGTACTTAAACACCAACCTCCTCATAAGTCACCCACAGGCCATCCAGTAGTGGGGTGAGCTTGCTTTATGCTCACACATCCTCTTGTTCCTAAATGGTGAATCATAAGACAGTTTTTTATTGGCTCCAAGAAGCAGCATATGTAGCGCGCGAGTAGGGCTCTTCAGAAAGCGCATGGCAGAGCAGCGTGTCTTGGGAAATGAGGGATGGGGGACTAAAGCAGGACTTGTGTTGCTTTTTATTCTTTTGGAAGCAATACTTTTTTTTTTTCTCGCCGTGTTTCTCCCTTGTTCTTTTCTTTTGGTGCACTACTGTTGGCTACTGTTGTGAGCAGGAACAATTTTAGTTTAGGCATTGTCATTTTTTTTCAAAACAGCCACACACACAAAACAAAGCCAACTCCATGCAGATATGCAACATTTTAAATTTCACTCTGTTGGACAGTTATCAGGAGTTGTTAAGGGCAAGTTGTGAGGGGTGAAGACAGGATGAGCGAAGAGTGAGCGGATGGTCTTAGTTATATATTTTTTTCACTGTTTATCATCATCAGCATCCTGAATTCTATTGCCTTGTTTTTTCCAGCACACGTGAGGTGGGAGGCTGTACACCAGTCCTGTCTAATTACCGGCTCCACATTTCCCGCCATGACGGAGAGGAAGATAGCCGACGACTACACGTCTGTGAGCATTTTTGTAATATTTACATAGTTTGTGTTTGCCAGCGTGCAGTTGGCCGTCTTGAGGTTCTCCTCCTGAATGTCCTCCCGGCTGTTGTTCACTGCCTCCTGAATCTCCATATAGTCCGATTTACTGATGGTGGAGCCGCTGCGGCTCTTCTTCAGCTCTTCGGCTGAATCGGTTTTGGCCACGTTGACCTGCAAGTACTGCGCCTGCTCTTCGCCTTCAGTCTCACGGTGATAGAAATAGTTGAAGTTGGACACGATGACAGGCACGGGCAAGGCAATGGTCAGCACACCTGCAATGGCACAGAGGGAGCCCACGATCTTGCCACCGATGGTAGTTGGGACCATATCACCGTAGCCAACTGTTGTCATGGACACCACCGCCCACCAAAACGCATCTGGGATGCTTTCGAACTGTGACTCGGGCTCATCTGCTTCGGCAAAGTAGACGGCGCTTGAGAAAAGGATGACACCTATGAAGAGGAAGAAAATGAGCAGGCCGAGTTCTCTCATGCTGGCTTTCAGCGTCTGACCCAAAATCTGAAGCCCCTTGGAGTGACGTGACAGCTTGAAAATCCTGAACACTCGTACTAAGCGGATGACCCTGAGAATGGCTAAAGACATGGCTTGTTGACCCGCTTGACCGTCATCTGGCTTTTCTGCGAGCTCTGTGCCAAGAGTGATGAAGTAAGGGATGATAGCAACAACATCAATTGTGTTCATCATATTACCAAAAAAGCCTGCTTTGCTGGGGCAGGCAAAGAAGCGCACTAGAAACTCAAAGGAGAACCATATAATGCAGAGAGTCTCCAGGATGAAGAAGGGGTCAGTGAAGTAGGTGGATGTATAGCTGATGACTGTGGTGTTGGTCTCAGGGTAATAGATTTTCGTTGGAGACCTGTCGTCGTCATCGTTTCGCAAAATGGGGAGAGTCTCCAAGCAGAAACTGACGATAGATATCAGAATGACCATGACAGAGATTATGGCAATAATCCTAGCAGGACCTGAGCTCTCTGGGTACTCGAACAGCAGCCACACCTGTCTCTGAAATTCATTTTCAGGAAGAGGCCGCTCCTCCTCCTTGACGAAACCCTCGTCTTCTCTGAATATCTCAATGGCCTCGTCGCCAAGCTCGTAGAAGCGGATCTCCTCTGAGAAAATATCAAGGGTGACGTTGACCGGCCTTCTTAGCCGGCCCCCTGATTGGTAATAATACAATATGGCGTCAAAGCTGGTTCTGTTCCTGTCAAAAAAGTACTCGTTCCTCAGCGGGTCAAAGTAGCGCATCCTCTTTTTGGGGTCCCCCAGCAGGGTCTCTGGAAACTGGGAGAGGGTTTTGAGTTGAGTCTCAAAGCGCAGCCCTGAGATGTTGATAACCACCCTCTCACAGCACTCATGGTCGGCCTCCGGGTCGTAGTCCAGCCCCGGGTGAGCAGCCGCCTCGTCAGAGGGGTCGCCCGTGGCAACAGTCATTCTGCACGGGGAGGAGGCCTGCACCTTTCAATGAGTCGGGGTCCTGCAGCCTGGAGAACTGCAGGCAGGGGCCGAGAGAAGGAGGGGGCTCGACACCGTAAAGACCTGACGGCCACAGGATGTCACCTAGGATCCGACTGCATGCAGGACAGACAGAGCAAAGACAAACAACAAGGTCAGGTAAACCAGAGACATGACTCAGCACTTAATACTGCATTTACTCCAGAGATGTCAGTGACATGCTTTAAACAACTGATAAGAGATGACAATGAATCCACCCTCTGAAACAATGTCAGTAAATCTGATAAGAGTTATTTAAAGTTAGACTGTCGTGAGAAACAATCAATGCAATATTGAATCAGCTTTGTGGAAACTTGAGGCTTACACTGCTGCTTCTGACTCGGGCAAATTAATATGCAAATAAGATATCTGCCTTGCATATAAATTGCTTCAATGCAGGTAAACTCGGGGACTAACCAGCATATAAAGCATATAGACGCTTGTAAATTAGGACACTGATCTACTGCAATGGACAAAATCCAGTGTATTGAGTGGGACTACCTTTTTGCAGTCAATCCATGAATATGGCAATGCAGCAGGCAGCAACCAAATTCATACAGACAGCATCCTGTCTAGAATATCATAGAAAACCACTGCAGTCTAAACACAAACGTACAAGATGCATATCAGCTTTACTGCTGTACCAAACAAACACATGACATGCTTCATATTAACTGTTTTGTTTTGTTCGGGCATTTTAGTCCTGAAATGGTGCCTGTCTCTGAAATATTAAAAAACATCTATAAATAATTAATCCATAGAAGGAAATAGGTTCCAAGAGAAAACCTGCATATCTTGCCTGCATCATCTCCACTCACAGCAGTTTTACAAATAAAATCCTAATGAAACAAAACCATAAATACATGCTTATTGTCTGACGATTAACATGGAAGTGCAAATCAGTGCATTAACAACAAAACGCCAATACTTTAGAACATACAATCAGATCTGCTTTATCCATACATACACATACATACATACGTATACATACGTATACATACGTATACATACATACATACATACATACATACATACATACATACATACATAAATACATACATACATACATACTTACTTACATACATACATACATACATACATACCTGCAGTCATCTGGACTCCGGTAACAGGAAGGTGAATAACCAGCTGCGACAAACAGCCCTTCCGTCTTCAGAGCAGGTTAAAAAAAAATCCAATTTGGGGCAGTCGATGATATCCACCTCATGTTGTCATCCTCGCGGTGTAAAGCGGGTACAGTATGTGCGGGTGTGTCCTCGCTTTCCCCTCCCCGGCTCCTTTCCTCAGGCTGTCGTGGGATGGCGATTGGCAAAAAAGGGAGGAGGGAAGCGATCGAGGAGGTGTTGGTGCTTCCCTTAATAACCGAAGGTGCTGGGATCAGCAGAAAGATCTGCCTCCGCTGTTCCCCTCCAGCGTGACTGTGACGAGCTGTGGCTGCAGACAGCCGCAAAGGTAAAGGGAGCTGATGCTGAGAGGCAACATCTGCAGAGGGAGGAAACAAGCGATGCAAGCGAGGAGGAGGGAGAAGGCTTACAAAAAAACATAATCTTATTACCAAGATTTAATAATTAGACGCGTTCTGGGACATATGCATCAATTATAAGTCCTCTTTTCATGTCAGTGCGAGAACAAATCTGCCACCCGCCACTCAGCCAGTGCACATATTTATTGCTCGCTAGGCTTGCTCTAGCCACATGAACAACATCTTAAACCAAAATCCAGTGTCTGAGCTGCAGATCATGCAAAGTGCGTCCATGTGCACACACAAACACACACACACACACACACACACACACACACACACACACACACACACACACACACACACACACACACACACACACACACACACATCTGAGTTTTCCACATGGTGATCAGAGCATGCGTCTTCGGACACTGACTTGAACTTGAAACGACATGCATGAAGGAATCGCCTTGTGCTTTGGGCCATGCAATTATGCAATTTTACGCACACGTGTTATAATAAAGCGGCATTTATTGTTGGTCCTGCATGGTGTGAGCACAGCGGCAGGTGACATGATTTATCTTCCAGGTGAAAGATTACTGGGGAAAATATGTCAGTGTCACAGTGGCCACTGCTGTGTAAAGCTTGGTCAATCCGACATGAGGGCATTGCTCTGCATACCAAGAGACATGCTGGAGAAGGAGAGGGCAACAAAAAAAGCACTCTCCATCCGCACTGAAGCCTACCACTCCTTACCTTATCTGCAGTGTGGGCAATTTAAAGGGGCACACGTCTCCAGCATTGTTTAGCAGCACTGCTGTTGGTCAGCTGCTTTTTTTTTCAAAACTGCAATGCCACAAATAGGCGTTACCATTTATTCTGGTTTAATATAGAATCAGAATACCTTTCTGATTCTGATTCTATATAGCCTGATTAGGTAAAGGTTGAAGGACAAACATACATTTTAAAAGACAAAAAACAACAGTAAATAGCATTTTCTCACAATCAATCTTCCTTAAATGTATGTTTTTAAAGGTGTCATGTCATGGCCATTTCCACTGATCATAATTCCATTGTTGAGGTATACTAAAATAGAAAAATACTGTGCAATTTTCCAAACTCACATTGGTTTCGCATACAGCATCTCTGTAAAGTATGTGTATTCAGCAGTATTTACTTTCTCCACTAAACGGCTCGCTGCAGCTCCC